GAAAATATACTCTCTATTATATTTCTTAAAAAAATATGCTTAAATTTTTCATTGAGCCAGAAATGTCATATAATTCAAAGAGATGTTTTCGTATAGATAAGTGACATTTTGAGCGAGAAGTTGATCAAACCCTCCTATTATTGATGCCTTCTTCTGCCGCAATTCTCGTTCATGATTAATGATTTTGAGTCAAAGTTCTAATACAATATTTTCATATTCTTGTCTAGCCAGATAATTATCGTTGAAAATTACTGAAATTATACATTTGATAACATTTAAATCTTCGGCAATGTTATATGTTAACGCATGAACTCTAAAGCTATAAAACCATTTGACACCGCCTCTATAGGATCAAGGGGTGACCGCCTGAGATCTTCAGAGCAAACGCACGGGCATCTGCTATCTTCCCCAGCTTTGTTACCTGCGATTCCAGGAACCCAAGCCAATAGGTGGGAAAAGAAAAACAGGGAAATTGAAACAGAACAAAGTCTGAATTCCGGTCAAATATTCACTGCCTTTATTTTCATCAACTCAAGCTATTTATAATGAATCTAATACATTGGGCAAGATAAAATGCTACATGCAATAAGCTACACATAACTACATGAGTCATCTTGGCCATACAAACATTAGCTCCTGCGTCATTCACCCGGGGGTGGGAAAGGTGTCTTCTATATCAAAATGGGGAGTAAGATCAGCTACATTGAAGACTGCATATACGTTGTAGTCGCCCGGGAGTTCGATTTCGTAGGCATTGTCATTGATCCTTTTGATCACTTGAAATGGGCCATCAGCATTGGGTTTCAGCTTCCTGAACGGTCTGGGTGGAAATCGCTCATTCCTCAGCTTGATCCAGACCATATCACCGACCTGGAAGACAATGGATCTTCGATGTTTGTTGGTTTGATATTTGGCGTTCTGTTGAGCTATCTTATCCCTTACTTGTTGGTGTAGCTTCTTGATCTCTTCGCTGCGTTGCTCCCCGTCCTTACTACAAGCAGACATTGATAATGTAGGTAGCAAATCAAGTGGTGTAAGCGGATTATTACCATAGACGATCTCAAATGGACTGTGGCCGGTGGTCTGGTTTGTTGATCGATTGAATGCAAATTCAATTTGAGGGAGAATGAGGTCCCATTGCTTCAAATTCTTCCCTACAAAACACCGTAGCAAATTGCCTAAACTCCGATTAACGGTTTCGGTATGTCCGTCCGTCTGAGGATGCGTCACCGAACTAAACTGAAGCCGAGTTCCCAGCTTCCCCCACAAAGTTCGCCATAAGTGACTGAGAAATTTAACGTCTCGGTCGGAAATGATGGTTCGCGGTATACCGTGGAGGCGTACGATCTCTTTAAAATAGAGGTCACTGATATGAGTAGCATCCAAGGTCTTCTGGCAAGAAATGAAATGAGCCATCTTGGAAAACCTATCAACCACGACCATGACGGAGTCTTTATTCCGCTGTGTTCACGGTAATCCCACCACGAAGTCCATACTGACATTATCCCAGGGCCGCACCGGAATAGGTAACGGAGAATACAACCCCGCATTGGTGAGAGACGTTTTTGCCTTTTTGCAGACTTGGCAGCTTCGGGTATACCGAGTAACGTCCCTTTTGATGGTTGGTCAGAAGAATTTTTTACGTGTGATGGACAGAGTTTTATCTCGGCCAAAATGGCCGGACAATCCTCCGTCGTGGCATTCCGCAATCAGGGCCAACCTCAAAGAACAACTGGGAATACAGATACTCGTGTCATGGAACAAGAAGTCATTCTTGATATGAAACAGTTGGTAGGGAGCCTTCTGGCAATTCTTCCATATGGCTCCAAAGTCCGGATCAGCTGTGTACAGCTCTTTGATAGCGTTAAAGCCTACTAATTTGTCCTGCACCGTCTGTAGTAGCACATAACGTCGGCTAAGAGCATCGGCCACCTGGTTGTCTTTCCCGGCCTTATGCTTGAGCACAAATTGAAATGCAGACAAGAACTCAGACCAGGTGTCATGCCTCCCTCGCAACTTCTTTTGACTATCCAAAAACTTTAAA